AATTCATGCAGCACACAGTGCATAATGAGAGAAAAAAACTCCGACTGTGTTTTTCATTTAAAACAGCGACTTTGCAGTGTATTTTCGTATGGTATTTATGGTTGTATTCTAGTTTTTCTATTCTCATTTGATAGAATGGACGACATATTATGGAAATTGAGGTGATTTTTGATTGGTTTCACAACGAAAAGTACACCTTGAAATTGAGTTCAAAGTAGCAGAAACGTTCGATTTTTGCCAAAGTTCAGAAGTAAACAAATCATGAAAGCGCCCAATACATGTCGACTGGTGAGTCTAATATTCTTTCACAATTGCGCTGATATTATTTATACCATTTCTACACTATTGTAGTAGTCTGCATAACAGTAAATCTTCTGTTTTTTTAAGAAAAGTTCAAAGTGGAAAGCAAAAGAAATATAACAGAGGCATGGGGACGTGACTAATGAACAGAGGAAACGTTATTTTAGTGCCAGGAATGTCTGTCATGTTTATTCTGAACCCTATTTGGAAATTGGCAACTTTTGAAATTTGTTTGAAATTGACAAAATTGCCAGTTTCTGACTACTTTATTGGATAGTTGAAATCGGTAAATGGGTAGTTTCTTGTACTCATTTGATAGAAAAAATGGAGTTCTAGCAAAATAGGTATGACTTGTCAACTGGTACATTGGAATTGGCTGAAAATAGGGCTCAAAGTGGGAGAAATCGCTGATGCATAAACATTGCCGAGACCGCTAACTTCGCGAGAGCATAATTCCGTAAGTTTTCCATCAAATTTCATACTTTTGGTGTCATTTTGATCGGGAAAAGATTCTGTATCATTTCATAAGATAATTTTTTTTTTTAAATTTCCGACCCTGAGAAGTTTAGGAGAGGGCCTGCCGACTCTGAAAGGGTTAATGATAAAGGGGAGGTTGTGGTTTCGTTCATGGGCGAGGTATCATAGAGGAGGAGTCTGAGGTGGATGTGAGGAAACTACATTAGGTAGAGTGAAAGGGGGTAAAGCGACTGGGATTGATGGGATTGACAGAAATGCTAAAACCAAGTGGGTATATTGTGTTGGAATGGTTGGTATGTTTGTTCATTATATGTAAAAGAAGGGAAGAAACAAAAGGATTGGCAGAGAATGTGCTTAAGGGAAAAGAGAACAGTAAAAATTTTTTTTAAAAATTATAGGGGGGATAAGCCTGTTAAGTATACCAGGTATACCAGTACAATTATTATTGAAAGGGTTAGGTGTAAGACAAAAAGTAGGATTGCAGAGGAGCAAGAAGAATTTAAGAAGGGTAGGGAATGTGTAGATTAAATGTTTACATTAAAGCATACAAGTAATTAGTACTTAAATAAGGGTAAGGAGCTGTTTGTTGCATTTATATATTTAGCAAATTTTTATGATAGGGTGGACAAGGAAGCCATGTTGCAAATGTATTTAATAGCTGGTATGTTATTAACCCTTTGACTGTTTTGGTCATATATATACATCTTACGCGCCACTGTTTCGGACGTATTTATACGTGTAAATTCTAGCGGCTTCAAATCAAGCGGGAGAAAGCTGGTAGGCCCACATGAGAGACAATGGGTCTGTGTGGTCAATGTGCACCACATAAAAAAAATCCTGCAGCACGCAGTGCGTAATGAGAAAAAAAACTCCAGACTGTTTTTGGATTAAAATGCCAACTTTAAGGTGTATTTTTGTATAGTGTTTATTGTTGTATTCTCGTTTTCATGGTCTCGTGTGATAAAATGGAAAACATATTACAGAAATAGAGATAATTTTGATTAGTTTCACAATGAAAACGACCTTGAAATTGAGCTCAAAGTAGCAGAAATGTTTTGATTTTTACTAATGTTCAGGAGTAAGCAAATGACACAACACGTCCAATACAAGTCAACTGAGGAGTCTAATATTCTTTCACTAGTGCACTGATATTATTTATACCATTTTTACAATAATGCAGTAGTCTGCATAACAGTAAATTTTGTATTTTTTATGTGAATAAAAAATCAAAATAGAAAACAATAGTAATATAAGAGGGACCTAGAGACATGACTAATGAACAGAGGATGTTATTTTAGTGCCAAGAATGTCTACATTGTTTATTCTGGACCCTATTTTGTAATTGGCATTTTTTTTAATTTGCATGAAATTGGACAAATTGTCAATTTCTGACCACTTAATTGGGTAGTTCAAATCGGTAAATGGGCAGTTTCTTGTACTCAACTAATAGAAAAAATAGAGTTCTAAAGAAATAGCTACGAGTTTGGTCAAGTGGAAGAACGGAACTGGCCAAAAACAGGGCTCAAAGTCTGTGAAATCGCCGATGCGTATATGTCGCTGAGACCACTAACTTCGCATGAGTGTAATTTCGTGAGTTTTCGACCAAATTTCGTACTTTTGGTGTTATTACCATCGGGAAAAGATTCTCTATCATTTCATAAGAATTTTTTTTTTTTTCCAAAAATTTTGCGATATAGAAGGACAGTTTCAGAAAGGGGCTTGCGACAGTCAAAGGGTTAAGGATGAATTTGGGAGGGCATGTGGAAGAATGAAACGAAAAGTAAACAGAAAAGGGGAAGATGATGAGGGGAACAAGAAAGTTTTAAGCAGTAATAGATAATTGGATTTGAGTTCAAAGTAGCAGAAACGTTCGATTTTTGCCAAAGTTCAAAAGTAAACAAATCATGAAAGCGTCCAATACATGTCGACTGGTGAGTCTAATATTCTTTCACAAGTGCGCTGATATTATTTATACCATTTCTACACTATTGTAGTAGTCTGCATAACAGTATTTGGGAGTGGACATGTCAGCAGATGGGTCTATGAAAGATGAGGTGAAGCATAGAACAGATGAAGGGAAAGGGTTGGGTGGCATTTTGTGACCTGTGGAATGAAAGAAAAGTTTATCTTAGGAGGCAAAAGAGCAAATGTTCCAGAGTATAGTGATAGTGACACTTTCATATGAGTATGAGACATTGGTTTTCAAAGCTGCAGCTGGAGGCAGTGGAGATGTCATTTTTGAGAGCAATGTGTGATGTGAAAATGGTGCAGGGAATTTGGAGCATAGAAATAAAAAGGTGATATGGAGTTACGAAGAGTATAAATCAGAAAGCTGCAAATGAGTTTCTGAGGTGGTTTGGGCATATGGAGAGAGATAGGATGATGAAAAGGGTACATAAATCTAGGGTGGAAGGGTTGGGGAGTCATCCCAGGAATGTTTGGAGGGAAGGAGTAAAGGAGGCTTTGAGCTTTAGGGGCTTGAGCATCCATCAAGCTTGTGTGTGCATGTTAGATTGGAGTGAGTGGAGACTAAGTGGCTTTTTAACCCTTTCAGGGTCCAGAGGCCAAATTTCAAAGTGTGCACAAGGGTCCAAGAATTTTCAAAAAAATAATTTTGTTATTTTTTTCTTACGAAATGGTAGAGAATCTTTTTCTGTAGGTAATAAAACAAAAAGTACGAAATTTGATGGAAAATTGACGAAATTATGCTCTCGCGAATTTTGATGTCAGCGATAGTTATGCATCAGCGATTTTGCTGACTTTGACTCCCATTTTAGGCCAATTACATTATTCCAGTAGACCAAATTCTTTGCTATTTCACTAGTATTGCTTCTGTTCTATCAATTGAGCACAAGAAATTGCCAAGTCAACTGTTTCAGCTACAAAATAAAGTGATCGGAATTTGGTAATTTGGCCAATTTAATGCAAAGTTCAAAATACTCCAATTTCAAAATAGGGTCCAGAATAAACAATGCAGGCATTCCTGGCACTAAACTAACATTTCTTCTATTCATTAGTTACGTTTTCAGGCTTTACAAATGAATTCCATTTTAATTTTTTATTCACATAATGAATTTTTATTCAAACCAAAAAATAGAAGATTTACTGTTGTGCAATATTGAAATAATTGTATAAATATTATCACCACATTTGTGAACGTATATTAGACCCACCAGCTGGCGTGTATTAAACGTGTGAGGTCATTTGTTTACTCTTGAACATTGGCAAAAATTTAACAAACATTTCTGCTATTTTGAGCTCAGTTTCAAGCCATTTTCAGTATTAAAACCAATCAAAATCATCTCTATTTTTGTAATATATCTTCCATTCTATCAAAAGAGATCAAGAAATCGCAAATACAACCATAAAAAATCATACGAAAAAACACTGCAAAGCTGCTGTTTTAATCAAAAATTAGTCTCGTTTTTCTATCTCATTATGCACTGTGCTGCAGGATTTGTTTTATGTGGTGCACACATACCACATAGATGTATTCTCTCATATCTAGGCCCAAATTTACCACTCACAACTTATCAGAGTGAGCTAAGCTCATGGCATAGATCTACGGTTTGGACCCTCAATGTAAAGCCGTAGATCTACGGCACAGACCCTGAAAGGGTTAAAGGATGTGCTTTTAGAATGTGAGAGGGCTGACATTGACGAAGTGATTCAGGGAAAATGAGTTAGCCAGGTGTGAATTATGGACATAGGAGAGAAAGTGCATGTATTCTGAAGGAGGGGTGGGGATGTTGCGGTTGTGTGATGTCAGCACACTTCTCTCAACACAGCAATTGAATGAATGATGGTGAAGATGTTTTAATTTTTTTTGTAGGGGGTGGGGGATTACCCTACCTTGGCAGGAGATGGTCATTGAGGTAAACAAAATGTAGGGACTTCCATGGAGAAACATAGCTCTCTGTTTCTCCATGTTTCTCTAGGTATCTGTTGTCTGTACCGTTGCAGATAAATTTTGTTAACTCTCAAGCAGAGTACAAACTTACAGTGGTTATGCAGTAGAAGCTAGATGGCTTTAAGTGTTTTTTTTTCCCTTGCTGCCCTTTGTACCAGTATTTGATGTGAAATGTTCTTTAATAAATCTACAAAGTAGTCACTGCAATAAAAAAACCATACCACTGGCGGGATATTAATTGATATTAATTTGTTTTTCTGCAGATTCTAATATATCAGAGCACTTCAGTTGATCTACATTTTTATTTTCACAGCCAATGATGTGGAAAACAGCAAGAATGCATGCTTGATGATCCTGGCAAAGATTGTTGAGGATCCCCAGAGTGGCACTTGTCTGAATGTAAGCTATGCTGACATCACTGGCCCTGTTGCCAACCCCAATCCTACAGGCTCACCTTTTGCCAATTCCCCTGGAGGACAGAGTATGCAGAATGGGGGCTTGGGAGGCATGAATAATCCACTGTCTGCTGGTATGTATTAACATGTAATAGTAATTAGCCATAAAAATTTTGTTACTAGTGTGATTTGTGGTTTGTGTGTGAATATGAAAGATATTAACATTGCATCTGCTTTCATGTTAATTACTATAGTAATTACTATAATTAAACATGCCATTTTATTTAACTAATTATATTATCTCTTTTTCAGTAAGTGGATTAGGCAACCTTCTTGGAGGTGGCGTGAATCTAACATTGAATTTGAGCTCTGCATATCCGAATGGTGGTGCTGGAAATCCTGTTGTTACTGCTCAGCTTCTGGAACATGTGAGGTCCATTCTCCGTTCATCTGGTTTTGCTGATCAGTCTAATGCTGAGGTTTGCCAGGCCATCAACACGTTAATCAATTATGGTATTATTGGCTTAGGGCTGGGCTTGGGTAACCCCTCAGGTCATCAGGGAGGTCACGGAGGCCAAGGTGGTCAAGGACAAGGCAATATGGGCGGTAATCCCATGTTAGGCAACATGAATAATTCTAACAACCCTAATGAATCATACCATGGATCATCAATGAGCAATGGAAATAATGGCCCTTTTGGGCCCATTGGCACTACAGTGGCATCAGGTCTGAACTTAGGACAAGGCTTAGGTGGTCCAACTTCTCCTCAACGCCAAGTGGACCGTTTTAATTCAGAACCGCCATTTGATCCATTTCGTCGGCAGTCTTCAGAAATGGGTGGAAGTTTACCCCTGAATAGCAACTCATTTGGGCTTGGGACTCCTTTAAGGAAGAGCCCATCCCCTGGCGAACTTCCTCCAGGAGCTCCAGATGGTAGCAAGAAGGTTGAGGTGGAAGTTGGTGAGCACATTGTGGGCGCTATCCTGGGTCCTGGGGGAAAGTCTTTGGTAGAGATCCAGCATATCTCCGGCACCACAATTCAGATCTCCAAGAAGGGTAACTATGCTCCTGGTACTCGTAACCGCATTGTCACCATCACAGGTCTACCTTCAGGCATCTCAACAGCGCAATTTCTCATTGAACAGCGCATTTCTGAGGAAGAGGGCAAGCGTGCTCGCCATAATGCCATCATGGGGGTCATGCCTTAAATCACCTGAGCTTCATCTCCACCTCACCCATAACCGAACAGACCCTTTTAGGGGCTTGAAAAAAAAATCGCACACACCATTGCCTCTTGCCTAATTAGTTCAATTTTAGTGATTGTTAATGTTTGGCGAGTCTTTTATATAAATATTTTCATAAATTTCAAGCTCCACCATCTGTCATCAAATTCAGGTGCTTTTCAGTAATCCATGTAGGATCTACATACAGTACATCCATTAAATTATACTGTATAACATAATTTGAAAATTGTTTTTAACTGACAAGCACCTTGCACTTCCTGGTTAGGTCACAGCAATTCACTGTTCTTTACTTTCTTCAAAACCTTGTGTGTTCAAATGTCACCCCATTCATAAGGCATAACCATTACAGACTTCTCATAATTGGCCATTTTATTCTTTACAATTTCCCCAGTCACCAACTACAGTTGTTTGTAAGCATTTTGCACTTGTTTAGAAAACAACAACTGTAAGTATATGTTGTTCATTGTTAAGATATTTAATTTCTACATATTTGTTTGACGAGAAGTAGTCAACTTGATTTTCTCCTTTTTTTTATAGTTTTAATTCATTGTGCAATTGTTTGTGCTGAGTTGAGCCCTCTTGTGGGTGTTGTCTGGGGCCATAGCATCCATCACAGGTGGAGGATAAGCTTGTCTGAAGCTGACCCTCAATCCAAGTGTTATTCGGCCATGTTTTCATTACCAGACCTGCTGAAGTGTGTGCTAATAGTTTTTTAATTTTATTTAAATTTAATATGCAGATATGTAACCTGTATCTTTAAGAATTAATCTCAGTGAAAACTATTTTCTACAAGATAGTTTAATATTTTTTTTTTTTTTTTATAAATTTAGCTGTTATTTATTAAGCAGATCTGGCTTTTGAAACCTTCATAACCATCTCTCTTCTGTCTTTGGTCAGAGAACATGCTACATGGCTATTCATATCGAGAGGTATGAACGTTGGCATCTTGTAACTCATGTTGAGTTTTATATGCTGCTACCAGGATTTCTACTTGGACTAGCCTATACTGGGGAGTTCATGTGTTACTATTCTCCACACACACAAAAATATTAAGTTTTAGTTAATGAGAAAAGAATATTTCAGGTCCCTCTCAGTAAGAACATTGTACCTGGGTGGGCAGTAGCTGGTGTTTGAAGCAAAGCTAAACATAAGGGTGGGTAGGCATTCCAGGCCATATGTCAGCCTACATGTAATAGTTGGAATCACCCAAATTAACTGGCTTAGTTTAAAAACTTTCAATTTGAGTGTGTTGTGTGCATGTAGGTTTTGTTTCCCTGGTATAAAATTTAACTTTTTTATTTTAAAATGGCAGTCATAGTTCCCCTATTGTTAAGTTTAGAATTATAAATTAGATTATTACAGACGTTTCTCTGAACCAGGGGATAGGCAGAAACATTTAATCATGCATCTTTCTTCATTAATATCATTGCTCTACAAACCATGTAAAAAATTGGCAATAAATGTGTATCCATGAGCGGCCAAGACTTTCCATATCAGCCTATCAATCAGTTTCACCGCACCAAACTGACATCCCAGCGCCCTGAATGTCAAAAAATGTGACATTCAGGATGCAGGTAATCAATCCTTCATCCCACATTCTTTTAAGTCACGCCTCACGACATGGGAAGCACCGCCGGATGACACACTAAGTCAGTTTGTTGCGGCATGCTTGTAAAATGACGACCTACATTGACCTGATCTCCTGAAAATGTCCTTGAAGCAGTCAAAGTAAGTAGAGTAAGAATCCCTGTATCTGGGAATAAAGCTTGTCGACAACTGACTGAGTCATGAGGTGCTAAACACAATCATGAAGGGCATGTGGGTACTGGTGATCACTTTCCACCACCATCTCAACCTCCTGGTTGGGGGGCCACATTCATTAGTTTTAGTGCTCATGTTTCTTCAGTGACATGCTTTATACTGACATATATGATGACAATATTGTCTCACAGCTCTCCATCAAGTGTTGCTCCTTGCCCCGAGTAATATTGACTTGTTTCTTTTCTCTCCCGTCTCCATAACTTAGATAATGGGTGACCCCAATGTCATGAATGATGAGTAAGCTGGTGTGTATGTGTGGAGCTGACAGTGCCAGGCTGTGGTGGTGGCGGCGGCAGGAGGGTGAGAGAGGCTCTCCACGCAGGCTCGGCACTCCCTTCCACACAGGTAGTGACTCTGTGCCTCACTCCACCCTCCACTCCCCAACTCTCATTCCACCTCTCGCCTCATGCCCGCCTCCATGGGTCTTGTACTCACCTTGACCAGTCTTGCCATTATTCCTAGGGCAAAAATTGTCACTACTTACATTATCACCCAAATTGAACCAGTTGCGCGATTTGATTTTTTTTTTAAAGTATTGTCATGTAATTGATCGAAACCTTAACTTGCATAAAAGTGAAGCTAAAATCATATTGAGTTAATATAATTATTTTTTACACCTAGATGTGGCATTTTTTTCTTTTGTAAAGATCCGCATTTAAAATGCTAGAAACTTAGAATAATGTGACAACTGGATGTGTTGAAAGTAATGCTCCTGTAATGAAACAGTAAGCCAGAGGGTGTTATAGGCACAACATATACTAATAGTATATGCCTTTAAAGGAGATAATCAGTATTCATAAGAACATAAGAATGAAGAAGCACTGAAGCAAGCCTCCTGGCCCATGCTAGGCAGGTCCAGTTCACACCCACTCATGTACCATCCAACCTATATTTAGAACTAAGCAAAGTTCTTTCCTCAATGATGCTATCTGGGAAATTGTTCCACTCATCTACAACTCTGTTGCCAAACCAGTATTTCCCAATATCCTTTCAAAATCTAAATTTCTGCACCTTTAATTTATTTCTACAATATCTGTTTTGGTTAGATATAGAGGGGCCACAGATATATCAGATCACTTTTTAGTTGTAGCTACACTGAGAGTAAAAGGTAGATGGGATACAAGGAGAATAGGAGCATCAGGGAAGAGTGAGGTGAAGGTTTATAAACTAAAAGAGGAGGCAGTTAGGGTAAGATATAAACTGCTATTGTAGGATAGATGGGCAAATGAGAGCATAGGCAATGGGGTCGAAGAGGTATGGGGTAGGTTTAAAAATGTAGTGTTAGTGTTCAGCAGAAGTTTGTGGTTACAGGAAAGTGGGCACGGGAGGGAAGAGCGATTGGTGGAATGATGATGTAAAGAGAGTAGTAAGGGAGAAAAAGTTAGCATATGAGAAGTTTTTACAAAGTAGAAGTGATGCAAGGAGGGAAGAGTATATGGAGAAAAAAGAGAGGTTAAGAGAGTGGTGAAGCAATGTAAAAAGAGAGCACATGAGAGAGTGGGTGAGATGTTATCAACAAATTTTGTTGAAAATAAGAAAAAGTTTTGGAGTGAGATTAACAAGTTAAGGAAGCCTAGAGAACAAATGGATTTGTCAGTTAAAAATAGGAGAGGAGAGTTATTAAATGGAGAGTTAGAGGTATTGGGAAGATGGAGGGAATATTTTGAGGAATTGTTAAATGTTGATGAAGATAGGGAAGCTGTGATTTCGTGTATAGGGCAAAGAGGAATAACATCTTGTAGGAGTGAGGAAGAGCCAGTTGTGAGTTTGGAGGAAGTTCGTGAGGCAGTAGGTAAAATGAAAGGGAGTAAGGCAGCTGGGATTGATGGGATAAAGATAGAAATGTTAAAAGCAGGTGGGGATATAGTTTTAGAGTGGTTGGTGCTATTATTTAATAAATGTATGGAAGAGGGTAAGGTACCTAGGGATTGGCAGAGAGCGTGCATAGTTCCTTTGTATAAAGGCAAAGGGGATAAAAGAGAGTGCAAAAATTATAGGGGGATAAGTTTGTTGAGTATACCTGGTAAAGTGTATGGTAGTTATTATTGAAAGAATTAAGAGTAAGACGGAGAATAGGATAGCAGATGAACAAGGAGGCGTTAGGAAAGGTAGTGGGTGTGTGGACCAGGTGTTTACAGTGAAACATGTAAGTTAACAGTATTTAGATAAGGCTAAAGAGGTTTTTGTGGCATTTATGGATTTGGAAAAGGCGTATGACAGGGTGGATAGGAGGGCAATGTGGCAGATGTGTCAGCATAGTTGCTGATCCCCTTACATGTGTTGTATAGCTTAGCCGAGTATCATAGTACCATCCATGTGTTTATATAGAAGATCCCTAGGCCTAGTGACTGTATGACGTCACGGGATGCGCATGAGTTAGTGGGACGCGCTACCTCGCCCTCACTCCACGCTTAGACATACAACAGGCAAGAAGGCAGGCTGGGCCCCTTCCCTTACCACAGTCTGACAATATATAGTGTTACCATCCACAAGTGTGTTTATCTTCAACCATCATATCTCCTTCCGAACCCCCACGACAGATGTTGCAGGTGTATGGTGTAGGAGGTAGGTTACTGAAAGCAGTGAAGAGTTTTTACGAGGATAGTGAGGCTCAAGTTAGAGTATGTAGGAAAGAGGGAGATTATTTCCCAGTAAAAGTAGGCCTTAGACAAGGATGTGTGATGTCAGCGTTGTTGTTTAATATATTTATAGATGGGGTTGTAAGAGAAGTAAATGCGAGGCTCTTGGCAAGAGGCATGGAGTTGAAAGATAAAGAATCACACATAAAGTGGGAGTTGTCACAGTTGCTCTTTGCTGATGACACTGTGCTCTTGGGAGATTCTGAAGAGAAGTTGCAGAGATTGGTGGATGAATTTGGTAGGGTATACAAAAGAAGAAAATTAAAAGTGAATACAGGAAAGAGTAAGGTTATGAGGATAACAAAAAGATTAGGCGATGAAAGATTGGATATCAGATTGGAGGGAGAGAGTATGGAGGAGATGAATGTATTCAGATATTTGGGAGTGGACGTGTCAGCGGATGGGTCTATGAAAGATGAGGTGAATCATAGAATTGATGAGGGGAAAAGGGTGAGCGGTGCACTTAGGAGTCTGTGGAGACAAAGAACTTTGTCCTTGGAGGCAAAAAGGGGAATGTATGAGAGTATAGTTTTACCAACGCTCTTATATGGGTGTGAAGCATGGGTGATGAATGTTGCAGCGAGGAGAAGGCTGGAGGCAGTGGAGATGTCATGTCTGAGGGCAATGTGTGGTGTGAATATAATGCAGAGAATTCGCAGTTTGGAAGTTAGAAGGAGGTGTGGGATTGCCAAAACTGTTGTCCAGAGGGCTGAGGAAGGGTTGTTGAGGTGATTCGGACATGTAGAGAGAATTGAGCGAAACAGAATGACAAGGTATTGTTCGGCCTAGGAAAGGTTGGAGGGAGGGGGTAAAGGAGGTTTTGTGTGCGAGGGGCTTGGACTTCCAGCAGGCATGCATGAGTGTGTTTGATAGGAGTGAATGGAGACAAATGGTTTATAATACTTGACGTGCTGTTGGAGTGTGAGCAAAGTAACATTTATGAAGGGATTCAGGGAAACCGGCAGGCCGAACTTGAGTCCTGGAGATGGGAAGTACAATGCCTGCACTCTGAAGGAGGGGTGTTAATGTTGCAGTTTAAAAACTGTAGTGTAAAGCACCCTTTTGGCAAGACAGTGATGGAGTGAATGACAGTGAAAGTTTTTCTTTTTTGGGCCACCCTGCCTTGGTGGGAATTGGCCAGTGTGTTAATAAAAAAAATTATAATTTTCAACATGTTAAATGTATGTCCCCTTTATTCGTGTTTTTTTTTCATTTGTACAGTTAATTCAACAGCTTTTGAAAGAGTGCAAGTTCACTGCTCCCAGCCTGATTTAATAGGAAATGTTTCTAATAAGTGGAATGAGCTTCATCATCGTTTTCTAGAAAGTATATTTTTGAGTGCATTTATGTCCTTCCTGTAATGTGGAGACCAGAACTCAGTATAATCTAAATGAAGTCTAACTGAAAATATGTATAATGTTGAAGTGTAATCTTAGTACAGTGGAACCTTGACTTACAAGTGTCCCAACTTACGAGTTTTTTGAGATCTGAGCCGTCCCTGGGTCTGTCTTTTGCTCCGAGTTACAAGCTAACATTTGAGTTACGAGCCAACTCCCCCTGCTTCCCCATCAACACAAAACCTGGACAATTCGCTTGTTTATCTCTGATTTCATGCTTTAATTCCATGGAAATCATCCTCTTTTTCTTCTCAGTATTGTCCTTTACTCTTACTTTCTTAGGTTCCATGCTTAGAAAAATGAAATTTGGCCAAATGACTGTCAAAAATGTAAGCAAAGCATGAGAGAACTGCTCCCACAGCCAGGTAAACAGTGCACTGAGTTGGTGGCATTTGTTATTATAATAATAATTATTATTATTATTAGTTATTATTAATTATTATTTTTTTTTTAGCAAGTCGGCCGTCTCCCACCGAGGCAGGGTGACCCAAAAAAGAAAGAAAATCCCCAAAAAGAAAATACTTTCATCATCATTCAACACTTTCACCTCACTCACACATAATCACTGTTTTTGCAGAGGTGCTCAGAACACAGCAGCTTAGAAGCATATACCTATA